CTGACATAATATTCTGCTGGAAAGAGAAGGCCTTCAAGCATCGTGCAAGACTGTGTTTGATTTTCAGTAGAAACAGAAGAAATTACTTCTAGGCTAAGACGCTTTGATTGACCTAGAACTTCATTTTCCAGAAGACTTTGATTTCTACCATCAAGAACATTATTAGGAGATTTAAAAGACATCTCTGGGTGATCTTGTTCTTTTAAGTTTTGGTTTTCATTCACCAATAAGTTATCGTACGTGAGTTCATTTACAGAGTATGAGTTATCTGCCTCTGAGTCAGGACTCCTGGGCAGCTGACCACTTGCACTTACAGTTTTGTTCACCTCTGGGTTATCTGTAAACACAATCATATTTTTGCTTTGTGCCTCTAAGCTTGAAGCAAGGCTGATGTTTTTTAAACCATGAGTAGTCAGTTCACGGTTACTTTTAGGAGGCTTATCTTCGAGGTGCTGACCCCTACCGCTGTCTGATGGACTATGCAAAGGAAGTGTAGTCGCCCTGGGGAAATTATCTCCACTTAAGAGTGTATCGGCATCTTTCTGCAGTTTGGCATTCGGCAAAAGTAACACACTCCCTACATTAGTTTCTGAAACTGGTGCTGGAGAATCAGGAATGTCAGACTTAGGACTTGAAAGGTAAGTTCTTATTTCAGCGACAGGTGTCCTAGGGTTTTCTCTATTGATTTCTTCCTGCTCCTTTAGTCTTTTTCTAGAGAGTATGAGCGAATCAGTGTCAAAGAAAGATTCTCTCTCCAGTGAAATAAATGTTCTCTCCTGTGTCTTTCTTCTACCAAGCAGTTTACTCTGACTTTTCTTACCATCGGGGCCATCAACCCTGCAGGGCAAATGTTCTTGGGTATCATCTGATCTTTGTATGCATAATCCTTCCACTGGGCTACGTCCAGGGCTGCAGGACTCAGTCTCAAAGTCAAGTGTGATAGATGTCTTTTCTCCAGTTTCTTCATCAACATTAGTGTTGCTTTGTAATGAGTCACAAGGAGATACATTATTTTTAGGTTCTGAGGAGAAAAAAATTATATAGTTAATATTTTCCTTTTAAGATGAACCAAAAAATATTCCATATTTGTTTTTAAATATTTTATATAAATACCACCAAACATTTATTTTAAAAGGAGTCAATGGTATTTCACTCAGGCAGATCAAAATTCAAGTTTTTAATAATCTAATAAATTATAATAATATTAAGTAAATGTAAAACAATGGAATCGTGCTAGAAAAACGATTTTTAAACTAAAAGATTATCTATTTTTATTGTAATCATCTTTTCTCTTAGTTTTTTTTCCCCTAGTTTTATTGAGGTACAGTTGACAAAGAAAAATTGTATATATTTAATGTGATGTTTTGATGTATGTATATATTATGAGACTACAATCAAGTAACTAACACATCCATTATTTCACATAGGATCAGTGCTCTTAGCAAATTTCAAGTATACAGTTCAGTATTATTAACTATTGTCACCGTGCTCTACATTAGATCTCCAAAATTTATTCATTCTGTGTAACTGAAACTCTATATACTCTGATCAACACCTTCCCATTTCCCTGTATCTCACCTAATTTTTTATTTCACATCTTTTTTGGGGCTCAACTGATTTTTATACTTTTCTATTTCATTAGCCTCCAATTTTATTTATAAATTACATGACTTCTAACATAAGAAATGACCATTGTTTTTTAGATTGTTCCCAGCCAGACTTTTTCATCTTTGCGTATAATTTAAAAAAATCATCTTTCCAATATTTAAACAATAAATATATTTTCTCAAAGTTGAAAGAGGAAAAGAGAAACTAAATAAACAATCCAACTGAAGCAGAATTTATCGCTTCACATCTACCAGAGTGGCTTTAATTTAATAAATGGAAAATTGCAAATATTAGCAAGGATGTGGAGAAACTGGAACCCTTGTGCACTGTGGTGGGAATATAAAATGGTACAGCCACTATAGAAAAGTTTGGCAGTTCCTCAAAAAGTTAAACACAGAATCACCATATCACTCAGAAATTCCACTTTTAAGTATATACCCAAAAGAAATGAAAATGTAAGTCCACACAAACACTTGTAAATGAGCATTCCTAGCAGCATAATGGCCAAAATTCATTAATAGCCAAAAAGTAGGAACAACCTAAATGTCCATTAACTAGTGAATGGATATACAAATTATGGTACATCTATACAATGGAATATTACTCAGCTGTAAAAAGGAATGAAGTACTGATGCATGCTTAGATTTATGTGCAATGGATGACTGTTGAAAACATTATGCTAAGTGAAAGGAGCCAGTCACAGAAAGCCACTTATTATATGGTTCCATTTATCTGAAATGTCCAGAACAGGAAAATCCACAGGGACAAAAAGTAGATTAGTAGTCACCCAGGGGTTAAGGTTTCTTTCTGGAGTGGTGAAAATTCTGGAATTAGATAGTAATGATGGTTATACAATCTTGTGAATAGACAAAGAACCACTGAATTGTACACTTAAAAAAGTCTACTGCTAGTCCTTATCTTCCAACTGTGAGAAAAAGAATCACAGCCAAGTTTACCTGGGAAATGAATAAAAAAGCAAACACAGGTGAATGGGCTAACTTTACCTGAGTGGTTTAGCTGTGTTGAAACTTCCTGCTGGATGAAGGAATCGTGTTCTTCCACTGTTCTCTTAACAAAATTCTTAATCTTCTCAGCTCTTTGAGCACGCTAGAGGAAACAGAAGCAGCTCAAGAAACAACTTTATGAAAAAGAAGGAAGTTTTTGTTAAAAGCCTTATTAACTGAAGAGCTGTTTTTATATAGTTTGTACCACACACCAACTTGAGAGAATAAGATTCACTTACCTGAAGGCGGGCCAGGGTCTTGCTGTATTCTCTTTTCAAGAATGCTAATTTTTCCTTCAACTGGAAGAAGAAAAAATACCAAACAATACTGAGCAGGTAGAACGGAGTCAGAGAGAAGGGGTACAGTGCCTATGAGACATGAGTGTGCAGCACTCAGCAGATCCCTGAGCTAGAGGCGGAGGAGGAAGTGGCATGGGCTCACACTACTCTCAGTTCTCACAAACACCAACCTAAAATCTCAGCATCTTTGCATAGATTGTTCCTATCACCTGGAGCATCTCCTCCCCAACTCACTTTGCTAATTCCTACTGATTCCTCAAGGCTCAGCTTAGATTTCTTTCCCTGGGGTAAACTTCTAGGTCCTTCTCCAAATCCAAGTTAGGCGTTCCACCTCTCCTCTCTGCTTCCTTTATCACAGTTCTTATTATACATGTTGTCTGTTTACTTTTCTGTTTCCCCCCATCTCACTGTGAGATCCTTGAAGGCAGCAGGAGACGTTCATTCAACTAGTGGATCAGTTATTGGTCTAGGTATCTCTAGCCCCTAGAACAGTAATTGATACCCTCTGTGTGTTAGTTATTGTTCCAAGTGCTAGATATGCAGAATAGTCAAGGCCCCTGCTCTTTGGAAAGCTTACAAATAGTGAGAGATACAGATAACAAACAAGAAAACAAATAAACAGATAAGATGATTTCACATGGTAATCAATACCTAGACAAACAGAGTGACCACGTGACAGTGTCTGGGCTACAGGAGAATGGACTACTTTAGAGAAGGTGGCCAGGGAGACATTTCTGAGCACGACCATTTGAGCTTAGACCGGAAGAAAAGAGCTAGCTCTGGGAAGCTCAGAGGGAAAGCAATTTGTCCGAGATCACACAATTTATAAACGTTATGACTGAAACCCAGGCAGTCCACCTCTAGAGTCTGTGTAGTCTTAGCCTCTTTGCTAGACTGCTTCTCACAGAGGCCTATTTATCACCATCCTTATCAACACCTGGGAATTATCTTGTTGACTTGTAGATGACCTTTCTCACCCCCACTAGAAGGTAGGTTGGAATAAGAGGAATGATGAGTTATTGTGAATGAAGAGTTTAGCACAAAGCTTGGAAGAGCCGGCACAAGATGCGTTCAAGTTAACAGCATCGGCACAAGCACAAGGTGGCGTGTATAAGAATATTTAGAGCAGCACTGTTGTAAAAACAAAAACGGCAAACAACTTATAAGTCTCCCAGCAGAGGAATATGTAAGGAAAAGATGACACTTCCATACTGCGGGATACTATATAGAACTTAAAAAAGTAAGTAAGTAAACATTGATTAATGTGGGTGTTAAAGAAGGAAAACGAAAGTTGCAGCACCATCCGGGTCATACCATTTATGAACCTTTCCCAAAAATGCCTATTACTTTTTGGTGGTTGGAGAATAAAACCGCACCCCACCACCCCCGCCCAGCACACACGCGCGCACGCACACACACAGACACAAAAAAGATCTAAACCCAGGATGTTAACAGATTTACTTAAGGAGGTGGGGAGGGAGAAGCCAAGATTGAGAGTGTGCAGGTTGGGGTGGGAAGTGTCAAAGGGAACTTCAGTTATGCATTTTGTATTTCTAAATTTTCTGCTGTAATGAAACTTTGCTCTTTAAGTGCCACCACGGGAGCACAGCGCTCTCCCACACTTTCACTCCCCGTGCCCCTAGTCCAGAGAAGACTGTAGGTTAGAGGTCACTGCCGCTCTCGGACGACCAAGGAAACAAAGACAAGCCTAAAATCCTAGGAAAGGGGGTCAGAGTTCTGAGTCAACCCTTCCCGCATCCCCAGCACCTTTTCTTTCTCCTCACAGCTGAGGGGCTTCCCGGGAGGCTCTTCCATCTAGCCGGTGGCCAACGAAAAGAGCAGCCGTCGCTGGCCCCGGGCCTGCGGACGCGAGAAGCCCGGCTGTCCCTGGGCGCCAAGGCGCCGGGGGAAGCTTTGGGGCGCCCGGGACCACCTCAGCACGCGACCAGCCGGCCCACGAGCGCCAGGCGCGCCAACAACCGCAGCCAATTATATCCACCGCTCGGCCTGCGCACGCGCAGCCGGAGACTGCAGAGCAATGGAGCCAGGCCACCTAGCGGAGAGCCGAGCTATAGATGAGACCGCGGGCCGCCCTGAGCGGAAGTGGTGGCGCAGCCGGAAGTAGCCTTAGTCCGGGGTAGGCAGACCGGCGGGCCGACTTTGACAGGAGCCGGAGCTGTGCAGAGGAGTTGCTGGCCATGGAGTTGGGCGAGCTGCTTTACAACAAATCCGAGTACATCGAGACGGTGCGCGTGTCCAAACATCTGCCCTCCCCTTTCCAAGCCCTCGTCCCCTGAGGCCGCCGTCCCCATCCTGTCCCTGCCCCACCCCGAGTCCCTTTGGCATTTAGTCCGAGATTACCCAGGGAAAGTTCGTGTATGTTCTAGCTTTATTTATTCCTTGCATGGCCAGTTTAGGCTTTGTTATTTGTTTCTGATTTCCTCATAGAGATAAAATGCCTTCCAGAAAGCAGGACAAGTTTCAGCCATCCTGGTATTTATTACGACTCCAGGCTTCAGGCCTTTTAAAAGCTTTTTTTTTTAACCTAACATGTGGTAACTTATTACTATGTGTTAAAGACTGTTAAGTTCTTTACAGTCAATACATGATGTGTGTAAATTGCTTGAAACAGGGTTAGTACTCAGTCAGCATTACTATGATTGTTTTTTCATTGAATTCTCTCAACTCAGTGATATTGGTAGAAACATTATCCTGGTTTTAGGGCTGTAAAACCGAAGTATAGAAATGAGACTTGAATACGTGTCTTTGCTGCCGCTAAGCTATAGACCTCCCACATCCAAATTCTGGATCTGTTGCTTGAATCCCTAGTTTCCTAATCCATCTTTGCTTTTTTGATATCTTGGACTCATTCCATTGCAGACTATATCCCATATCAAGTCCTTTTCTCTGCAATATGAGCTTTCTTGGTGGAAACCTGTAGCCCAGAACCCACTCAGTTTGTTCACCTCCGTTTTCTGCTGCTTCCTTTCAGGCATCTGGGAACAAAGTTAGTCGCCAGTCTGTGTTGTGTGGAAGTCAGAACATCGTTCTCAATGGCAAGGTAAGGGACACAGCCAGCTCCAGGATACATGTTTTTGCTTTCTTTCCACTAATTGTCACGTTAGCATGCAGATGAAATGTTACTGTGTCTCCCATTTATTGCTGTACATTCTAAAATTCTCTTTTTTTCATCTTCCATATTGGATTTATTGAATACAAGAAAGATGCAGTAAAAGGAGACAACAGAAAGCCTTTTTCCTTTTATTTCAGGAACGAAATACAATGGCACCCAGAACTGAAATTATTATACAATGTTGTAGTGTGTCCTAAACTATGGGGCACAAAACATAAATAGGCAACATAGTATTTTAGTGTAGAATCTAGTGTGATACTGATACAATTAATAGTTAATGATTCAGTGCTAATTGAAACTACTAAAATTAATGTGAGAATTGGGAAAGATACTAAAATATGAAACGCATTTGTGAGATGTACTGTCAAAGGCTTAGTATTTTGTAGTCTGAATAAACTGAAATTTTATATAGCAGAGAGATGAGTATAAACCTGAGAGGAATAACATTTCACAACCAGAGAAAATATTAAGACATATTTGAGCTTGACAAACTCTGAAGTCCATAGTTTTTTTCTGCCATTAGGAACACTTAATTTTCCTTGAAATATTAAATCCCTAACTTCCAGAGGTAAAATAATCTCACTGTAGTTAAGAGATCACAGATATTTTCAGTAGAGACACAATTATTGTCTCCATTATCCCATCATACCATAATTTAATGGAAAAGAAATATAGTTTGATAATTACATATAATTAGTAATTATAGACACACTGTTTCTACACAGAATTAGAAAATTCAGCAGAATTCAGAAAATTCCATTTGACTCATTAACAAATACGTGGAGGTTTTTTGAAATCCCTCAGCTAATTCCAAAACATTTTCTGTGATTTTGTAGGGAAGATTTGTGTGTGTGTGTGTGTATGTGTGTGTGTGTGTGTGTGTATGGTAAAGTATTTATGATAAAATGTGCCATTTTAACCATCTTAAAATATACAATACATTGGCATTAATTACATTCGCAGTATTGTGCAATCATTATCCCTATTTCTATTTCGAAAATTTTTTCATTACCCAAACAGAAATTCTGTACCCATTAAGGAATAATTCCCCATTCCCTTCTTCCTCCAGACCCTGGTAACCTCAGTCTACTTTCTGTCTCTGTGAATGTGCATATTCTAGATATGTCACTTAAGTGGAATCATATAAGACTTGCCCTTCTTTGGTCTGGCTTATTTCACTTATCATAATGCTTTCAAGGTTCATCCCTGTTGTAGCAGGTATCAGAATTTTACTCCTTTTCATGACTGAATAATATTCCATTGTATGTATGAACATTTTGTTTATCCGTTCATCTGTTGATGGAAACTTGGGTTGTTTCCACCTTTTGGCTATTGTAAGTAATGCTGCAGTGAACATTGACATACAGGTATCTATTTGAGTCGCTATTTTCAATTGTTTTGGGGATGTGCCTACGGGTGGGATTGCTGGGTCGTATGGTAATTCTATTTTCTAGCTTTGTAAAGAATTGTCAAACTGCACAATTGTACAAATATTTTCTACCATTCTGTAGATTGTCTTTCCATTTTCTTGATAATGTTCTTTGATGCACAAGAGTTTTTAATTTTGATGAAGTCCAGTTTATCTGTTTTTTGTTTTGTCGCTCAAGTTTTTGGAGTTATATCTAAGAATCCTTGCCAAACCCAAGATCATGAAGTTTTACTCCAGTGTTTTCTTCTAAGAGTTTTATGGTTTTAGCACTTGTATTTAGGTCGTTGATCCATTTTAAGTTAATTTTTGCATATGATATGAGGTTGGGGTCCTAATTAATTCTTTTGGGTGTGGAAAATTACTTGTCCCAGCACCACTGGTTGAAGAGATTATTCTTTCCTCATTGAGTGGTCTTGGCATCCTTATAGTAAATCTTCTGGCCATAGATGTATGAGTTACTTTCTGGACTCTCAGTTCTGTTCCATAGTTTATATGTCTGTCCTTATGCCAGTACTAAACTGTTTTGGTTACTGTAGCTCTGCAGTAAATTTTATAATTAGGAAATATGAGTCTTCCAACTGCTTCCTCTTTTTCAAGATTGTTTTGGTAATTTGGGGCCCTCTGTTTCTCTTTCAAAAGGTGTTTTGGCCATATTTGGTTTACACGGAAGACTGGGTGATATATATGTCATGAAGCATAAAAATTAAATCAACACCATGAACCCACCACCCATCTGAAGAACTGGAACATAATCAATGCATGATAATACAGTTCCTTTCCCTTAAGTTCCTTTCCCACTTCTTTCTTCTGCCTCCTTCCAAGAGGACACCACTATTCTGAATTTTTTGTCTTATAAATCCTTTATTTTTGAAAAAAAATTTTTTACCACATACATATGTATTTCTAAGTAATATGTATTATTTAACTTTACTTGGTTTTCTATGACTTACTATTTTTACACTCAATTATTGTAATAATGACAATAGGAAACACATATTATGCTTACAAAGTAACATCGTTCTCGACTCCATTTCTAAGATTCATTGCAGTATATGCATTTTCACTGCTGTGTACCATTGCATTTATTCCCTCTCCGATGAGTGAATAGTTATTTTGTTTCCAGCTTTTTGTTATTATAAACAGTTCAGTTCTGTTTCCAGCCCTTGTCCCTTTCAGACCTTTGACACTTCTGTTTTGCTGATGCCTTATATCAGATGTCACCGTGCCTGCAGGTAGAGATGGGGGTCCAATGAGTAAATCAGACTGAGCGTAAATAAGGGAGACTGCTGGGGTCTGGTGCATTGGAGAATACAGGACCTGGCTAAGCTCAGGCTGATTGTCGTCACAGGGGAATACAGGCCTGTAGTTCCAGAGCGTCTAATTTTCTAAAAAGAAACTGGAAATCTGGATTTTTTTAAAATGTGAAGTGGCCCGCTATTAATGTCCCACTATTCAAATAATAGCATATAATTTAAATGATAAAAAAGGCTGCCTGGGCCAGAGAAAACAGGGTTCTAGGTGCAGCCCTTAGACCTCCAACTTGCTACCTCTGCCTTATCCCTCGTTGAGTTCAACGAACTCTGCTTTAGTGCTGTTTTCTTCCCTGTAAGGTCTTTGGGGGCATTTCCTTTCATTTTAACACCCCTGTTGCCTGTATCTTTCATCTGACGTTTCTTCGGCTCTGTTCCTGATGAGATAGGAAACCAGGGTTTGAATTCCTCTTGCTAACTTTCTTTGACCACTTGTGCTATCGTTTACTTGTTCTGTTTTTTGTGTGTGTGTTTGCTTCTTCAGTGGGAGTGTAATTTAGGCTGACTGAGAGACTTATGTAGATTTTCTTTATTTCCAGAGTAAGATTGTTATCTGTATTTAAAACACAGTAAAACAGTAACAGCCATTACCAAATACTTAGAACTCTTGGTATTCCGTTTTCTTCCAAAAGAAAAGGAAGTCATTTTCTCTGATTGTAGGTGGAAACACAAGCTGAAAACAATGATTAAAGTAAAAGGATCTCAGATGAAAGAATTACATGCTAGGAATAGATATCTCTTTTAGCTTGAGGAAGATTGCTATTAAAAACCAAGAGAACTGTAATACTTTACAAGCAGCAGCAGATGTGAAAGTTTCTTTTTACTGATAGAGGTCTTTTATATATATATATATATATGTATGTATTTTATTGAAGTATAGTCAGTTTACAATGTTGTGTCAGTTTCTGGTGTACAGCACAATGCTTCAGTCACACATGAACATACATTCATTCATTTTTATGTTCTTTTTCACCATAAGTTACTACAAGATATTGAATATAGTTCCTTGTGCTCTACAGTATGAACTTGTTTTAATAGAGGTTTTATAGACTCAATACATGCAGGTCAGATTGGTAAACTTCCAGGTATGAGTCCATTTCTTTTTTAATACTCTCTCAGAGCCTGCTGTTCAGGCTAGTGATTTACTTAATTCGCTTATATTTGAGGTGGTGCCTGACCTTCCTCCTGGGCCCAGACCTTGATTTACAACTGCCTTTTGGTCATCCCCCAGATACCTCCAACTCAGCATTTCGAAATTGAATTCATCATCTAATCCCCAGAATTGCTCACCCCATACTAGATTCTCTTTCTCTTACCCAACATCAAAACAATGACTGAATCATATAGATTCTCTTCCTTTTTTTTTTCTTTTTGAATATTTTATAATGGAACATTTGAAAAATCATTCTTATTGAGGTGTAATTTCCATACAATAAAATGAACCCATTTTAAGTTTGCAGTTTGACAAGTTTTAGCTGATGTGGACATTTGTGCAACTAGTACCACAATCAAGATAGAAAATATTTCCATCACCCTAGTTTCCTTGTGCCCCTCTGCAGTCAAGCCTCCTTCTAGCTTTGCCCCAGGAAACCGCTGATGTAAAACTAATACAGGTTAGTTTTGCATTTTCTAGAATTGGAATCATGGACTCTTTCTTGGTTAGGCTTCTTTAATTTACCATAATGCTTTTAAAATTTATCCATATTGTTGGATACATTCATGGATTTGTATGTAGTTCATTACTTGTTATAGACAAGCAGTATTATTATAGAACTTTGAAGACATATAAAAGTAGAGAGAACATATAATGAGTCCATATATATTCACTCACCAGCTTCTACAATTAGCAATATTCTGCCTTTCTTGTTTCATCTTTATACCACCTGCCAGATCCAGACCAATTTTGGAGTGGAATGTTTTCAAGCAAATTGCAAGCAAAATATTATTTCACCCATAACTACTTCCATATATATCACTAACATTTAAAGGCTTTAGAAAATGAATAGAGTACCCTTACTATAATATATTTTTTAAAAAGCCAATCATTGCCCAGTATCATGTAATCCTCAGTCCATGTTCAGTCTTTCCAGGATCTTAAGATGTCCTTTTACAGTTGTCTTGCTCAAACTGGGACCCAAACAAGGTCAAGTACGCATTGCATCGATTGATATGCCTAAGTCTCTTTTAATCTGTAACAGTTCTCTTTTCCCACCCTGTTTTTCTCCCCACTGTCCTGCAGAATTTTCAAATGTCTGAATTTGGCTGATTCTTTTTACACAGGGTTGTTTAATGTGGTCTTTGTCCCTTTGTCCTTCCTCTACACTGGTAATCAGATCTAAGGGCTTGATTGATTCCTCTACTTCCTATTTATTTCTCTTTTCCTGTTGCTCAGCCATTGCCGTAGGTAAGGCCCACTACCTCTTCTTACCTTGATCCATCTGAAGGGTCACTTCCCCTCCAGCCTTACCTGCCTCCGTTCAGACTCCAGACTGCTTCCAGAGTAACATTTCTAAAATGAAGATTCAGTTGTATTAATCCTCTGCTTAAAGTCTTTCAAGTCACTCCTTATATCCTTGAGGGAAAAGAGTCTAAGCTTCTGTACTCAGCATACATAATTCCTCGTGATCTGGTCCCCTGCTTACTTTTCTAGCTGCAACTCCAGCCACATGCACTCCCCCTCCCCACCATCTATTCAACAGACATGTCAAGAATGCCTGCTCTTTACCAAGTATGGGGTATTAATTCCCCCAAATTTCTGGGTTGTGTTGATGATCCCTGCCGGGCAACCTCTGGGGAAGCCACACCCCACAGTGTAGCACTTAGTCTGAGTCCAGAAATTGGGAGAGGAAGCAGAACCTCGGTGGGTCCACCTCTGGGAGCATGAAGTTGGGGATGGTCAGTAGTGGCAGGAGATTAGACAAAGGTGGGGGCAGCCAGGACTCTCACTGAGCAAGCAGCCAAGGCCTGGGGGTGGGTAGAACAGCATGCATCTGAGGAGGCGCATAAACTAGCTCTCCTGCAGGTATTCTCAATAAACGTTTGTCCAGTCAATGATCCTATGCATGTGATAATAAGGGCAAAGCTTGCGAGGTCCTAGGAACATCTTCAGCTGCAGTTGACATTATGAGGGCAATTCTCTTTACCTTAAAAATATCCCTCTTGATAGAACATGTAACTCAGTAGAGCATAACATAACTCTCAATGTGTCTTGTTTTTACTCTTTTTTCTTACATTTTAGGCTATGTTGGTAGTTTTTTAAAATGTGCTTTGTTTTACAGACCATTGTGATGAATGACTGTATCATCCGAGGGGATCTGGCAAATGTAAGAGTTGGACGGCATTGCGTGGTGAAAAGTCGGAGTGTCATAAGGCCACCATTCAAGAAATTCAGCAAAGGGTATGTAATTTAATGACCTGTCTCAGTCTTGGGCAAGATGCTGCTGCTGGTGGTGGTATCCAGGTGTTGAGTTGTAGGGTAAGGAGCAGGTCTATGCTATTGTTTGGGACACTAAGTGAGAATTCACCATAATGAACACAACTCTGGTGGTTGTTGTCTTAGTCTAGTTGGCAGGTGTTTGCCAGAAACAATCCACTTAAGCTGGCAAAAGCAAAGGGGGTTCTGATTAAACAGACACAGACATAGTTGTTGGAATCGAAGGGTAGAAAAGGGGGCCAGGCTTCACAAGAGACTAGAACCTGGAACTGGACAGCTCACCATCATCAAGACACCTGTTCTGCCTGACTACCACTCTGTCACCAAGATTATACTGTTTTCATCTGTCCTTCTCTCTGTACTTCTGCTTCCTTCCTTTTTTTTTTTTTTCCAGCGGTGTCCTCCTGCTTTCCTCATGGAGCCAACCTTGCTGCCTCAGCCCTTTAATTATATCACTTCTCCATTCGACTTCCATCAGATACCAACCAGAGATTTTAGATCCTGGTAACAGATTATTGGGAGTGGGAATCTGACTGGCTCAGTTTGAGTTAAGTGCCTACCCCTGGTCTAAACGGCTTTGACCCAGAAGGTAGGGTCAAGTTAGGCTCACTGATCCCTCAGTAGGAATAAGGACTGGCCAGAAAGGACATGGACAGGGCAGGAAGACCAACCACTGTACCCAGTATTTGCCTCTCTCCCCCTTTGCCCTCCTGGTTCCTGCGTGTGGCACCATCTGCTTTTCATCTAGTAATGCAACAAGCACTTATTGAGTGCTTTCTTTGTGTCCGTCACTAGGTTATAAGCTGTTCATATAAAGATGGATAAATAGGGTCTCAAAACCTAGTGGTAGAAATGAAACAAATTGGTGAATTTAACAGAAGAGAAACAGACTCACAAATAGAACAAACTAGTGGTTACCAGTGGAGAAAGGTGCAAACTACCGCATATAAAATAAACAAGCTACAAGAATATATTGTACAGCACAGGGAATATAGCCAATGTTTTATAATAAGTATAAATGGGGTATAACCTTTAAAAGTCAAGAATCACTGTGTTACATACCTTAAACTTGCATAACACTATAAGTCAGCTATTCCTCAATTTTTTAAAAAAACCAACAATCTAGTGGTAGAAACAATTACATAAACAGATAGCTACTACAGAGTGTGATACTAAAATGTGGTAGCCACTGTATAATGGGATACTCCTGTCCTTGGGATGTGAATATGGTTAGGGAGGAACAGAGAAGAGAGCAGCTAACTCAGGCTGTAATATCTAGGTGTATCTCCTGCATTGGTAAACCTGCATTTCTCATAACCACGTTGGCTTCCAGACTGCATTATGTATGGGAATTGGAGCAGGGAGTCATTGTAAATCACATGAAATTCATAGGGAAACATTCACTTGTTAGCTCAGAAGGCTATCTGGGGGAAAACCAAAAAAAGTTGTGGCTTTCATGGTTTCGTGCAGTGACTGATGCTGTGCTAGAGTTGTTGACTCCATCTCCTGGTAAAGGCATTACTGGGCTGGAAGTGGGCCAGGAATAGGACCGAGAATGAACAAGGGGCTTATTGGTGAAGGGAGGGATGTGTAAGTAAGAATAGTCCATACAAGACACACAGAAATACGAAAGTGTAAACAGTAACACATGAATAGAAGGTGAATGGCAAATCCTCCCCTGCACATCCCAAAACCAGAACCAGATAACAATATAAAGCTTGGAATTTTTAATTTAAAGTTAAAGAGTTGACAGTAGTCCTGTAGATTATGATAGGATCAGGGAATCCATTGCCACACAAGAGGTCCAGACTGAAAATGCAAGTGGATTAAGAAAGGTTTAAATAAATTATAGGTCCATGGAGGACAAGCATCATCTCTGACAAAACAACACAGGCCTGGAAAGAGCTGCTTTATATTAGTTCCAGTCCAAATATTTTACATCCCAACGTACTGAAATTACTTGTAAGTGTGATCACAGACCAATGTCAACGACATTTGAAGACTCCTGGAGAGTGGGAACCATATCAAAATTCTGGAGAAAGCCTACTAACTCCTCAGGTGTTGGCTTAAATGTCACTTTTTTTTTTTTTTTTTTTGGTGGTGGGGAAGGTGAAGGTAATTAGCTTTCTTCCTTTCTTTCTTTATTTTAGAGGAGGTCCTGGGGATTGAACCCAGTACCTTTCTGCCCTTAAATGTCACTTTGATTAAGCTTTTACCAAACCTCCAATCTGAGTAAAATCTCTGTGTTGTGTACTCTCATGACGTGGCATTTTTCCTCGGTAGCACTGATCACAGTTGTAACTAATTACTTATATAATTGTTTATTTACTCTCTCTTTTTTTCTCTTGATTGTAAGCTCCTCGAGGGTGGGATTGTGTTCCTTTTGCTGCCCATTGTATTCCCCAACTCCTAGCATAGAGCCTGGCATATATTAGACACTCAATAAAAGTGTCACCATATAAAATTCCAGCACGTTGGGAATTATATCCCATGAACCTTATGTCAGTCCCTTGAGCATTATAGGGCAGATTAATGAAAATGTGATCCATGAGCATTTTCAAAGGAGGCTGGAGTGAGCAAAACATCCATTCATTTTTATTTGGTGCTAGCTTTTTTAGCTCTGAAGGTCTTGCCCTTGCTGTTTTGCAGTTTCCTTGCACGTTTGCTTGATCTAATATTTCTAATTTCTATCTTCAACTATAGAATCCCTCTGGCCTGAGGATTCTCTCCTTGCTAGGAACAGTCTCAAGACAAGAAGATGAAGTTGAGATTATGATCTTTAATTCCAAATACATCACCTTGACTTTTCTTTGTTCCTCTTTTTCTTTTATAGCGTTGCATTCTTTCCTTTACATATCGGGGACCATGTCTTTATTGAGGAAGATTGTGTGGTCAACGCAGCTCAGATTGGCTCTTATGTTCACGTTGGCAAGAACTGTGTGATTGTGAGTATGGTGTCATGGCTGGCTGTCACTCGCCCTCTGCCTCCTGTTCCTCACATCAGTGGGCCTCTGCTTCTGTCACCCAGCAGGGTAGAAGTTGTTTCTAGTCTACAGGTCTACCAGAATTATTACTGGACTTGGAATTTTTCCTCAGCATTAATAATCACAGCTAACCCTTTTGGAACCTCTTCCATATGATGTTAAACTCTTTCCTTTGATCATTTCATCTAATCCTCATAACCATCCAGGGGCAGTAGGTACCGTTATTATCCTTATTTGCAGGTGAGAACATCGAAGACTTTCAATATTAGGGGATTTGACAAGGCTAGTAAGTGGTAGAGCTGGGATTTGAACCCTAGTGGTATGACTAGCCATGCTGCTATGTGGCCTACCTATTGCCTCACATCAAGGATCTTACAGTCTAGTGGGGGTGAGGGGGTCTTGAAGGAGGAGTTGAAATTGGCTCATAGGCAAGAGGGGAATGGGTGTTTTAGGAAAGAGATTGGCATGTGTAAGGGTCAGAGTCACCGAAGGGCATGACATTGAGGGAACTGCACATAGTTCAGGGTGAGGGGCGTATCACGTGCAAGTGGGCCCCTCGCTCAGCAGAACCTGTAGCGCCCTGGTCCCCAGAAGCCTCAGCATCGCTTTGTTTAACCCAACCAAGGCTTTCCAAGGCCGAATTTCTTGGTATTTCATAGATGAGGAGGTTGATTTCAGTTAGGATTTCTGAGACCATCCTGGGTGAGAATGTTAATGATCAGAGTCAAACTGCCTAAATTTTCAGGGAAAATGTTTCTTACATTTTAAATTTCTACCTCAGATTCTGGGAAAAGCCAAGACCCTTTTCATGTTTTTAAATGGCTGCTCCCATTAACACAGAGTCAGCTCTCTGCTCTGGATAAAACTCAGCCTCTAAAGTATCAAAACTTACAGAAACCGTGCAGTCATGTTTCAGGAGCCGTGAGGGCACAGCGAAGGTGTGCAGTGCAATGGAGAACCCCATTGCCGAGAAAAACATTCCAGTCTGATTTGTCACTCAGAATTAAGGGAAGTCGTTTTGCCAAATATTGTCCTCCAGGGGAGTTCTGCAGTATGTATTAGAGACAGAAAGACTTTGGTTTGGCCTGATGTTGAGGGAACGGGGAAGACAGTGAAATTCATCCTCTCCCCTCACTCAGACTGTGTGTCTAAAGCTGGCTTTCCAAGCCACAGCTGGCTTTGTCTGATACTTTCCTTGGCAATGTGAAGACATCACCATAGCAACCTAATCCTTTAGCCCTGTCCTTTAGCCCCAGAGCCAGATGTCTGCAAGGTTAAAATCCAGATGCTCTTCCCAGTGCTTAGGAGATTCTGGTCCTATTGTTAGGTGCTCTCTTTTTGTGTCACTTTTCAATCCATCAATTCCTGATACTGTCATTGTTCAGTACTGGCGGTACTTAATCACTGAGCCTTTACGAATTATCAGGTAATCTCAGGAAAAGGATCCTTTGAGAATTCTAGAATCTCAGAGCTAGCAGGAACTCTTTAAGAGTCCAGCTGTCCCCATGACACTCAGCTTGTTCTTACAACATCTCACGTGGTAGTCTCACTTCTGTTTGGATGTGTGAAGATGTGGCTGTTAGTCAGAATTGCCCAGATGCCTGCAGGAAAAGCCTAATAGGCAGTATTAATAAGCACTTGTTCCCTGACAACACTCCTGCAGGCTTGGTTTTAAATCCTGTTTCCCAGGATGTAAGTAACTTGCTATATCACTTGCATAAAGAGATAGGAGGAGCTGTAATACTAGCAATGTGCAGTTCTTGACTCCTTCTTGGAAAGTTCTCCAGGAAAGAATAAAGAAGTAGTTTCAGCTTTTTACCACCTCAGCTATTGCCAACCCATTCATGCCTAAGAAGTACCTGCGTTTTTAATTTTACTGCTATGTAATTGATCAGTTTACCCAGAATTCTCTGAAACCCAGTTTGCCACACTTCTCTGAGTGGGCAGCATGGCCAACTCGTAGACAAAGCAGGTGCCTACATGCTGTGTGGTGGCTGGTGGTACCCAGGGAGGAGGTTCCTTTCCACTGTTCTTTTCCAGGCCATTTGTCTGCAGATCCCTGTCTGTGACTGTATCATGCCTTATGTGGCACATTGTTTCCTTTTACTCAGTGCCCCAGGTGCTCAGTGTGAGTTATAGGGAGCTTAGGCATCATAGGACATCTTTGAGTTAATTTGGGAGTTGCCAGGCAAGCTGGCCAGCTGCCTGATTTTTGATATTGCCAATAACAGATAATCCATGGAAGAGAACTTTCCAAGGAGAAATGAAGAGCTACATACATAACTTGCTTCTGACCTAGAGTGGTTGCCCAACTTGACTCTTATCCACCCAGCTGGAGACAGCTTAGTTAGCCACTGAACAAATTCAGACCCTAGAGGTATAAGGTTTTTAAAAAATTCATTTGGCACAGACATAGAAAACAAACTTGTGGTTACTAGGGGAGAAGGGATAAATTGGGAGTCTGGGATTTACAGATACTAACTATTATATATAAAATAAACTAGATAAACAACAGAGACCTACTGTATAGCACAGGGAACTATATTCAATATCTTGCAGTAACCTATAATGAAAAAATATATATATGTGTGTGTGTTTGTGTATGTGTAACTGAATCACTATGCCTTACACCAGAGACTAACACAACATTGTAAATCAACTATACTTCAGTTAAAAAAAATTCATTTGGCAATGTACCTGGAAGTTCCTGGAAAGATGTAAGATTTGAGTGTGTAGAATTTGAGCACAACCAAATAAAAGTATTTTTCATCTTCTTTGGTAAAATCTAAGATCTAGGCAGGTTTGCATTATTCTAGTATTTGTTAAGAGTTTCACATCCTCAGCCAGGTGTGTTTTATCAGGTTATCCGACCAGAACACAAGTGAACTTCCAGACCTTGGTGATGTAAATGCAAACAATAAAGACCAAAACTTTCCTTTACTCGGCAAATTGTCTGAAGCACAACTTTAAACTGTATACAGAAGCCTCTTCTCTCCCTTAAGCCATGAAACAGATGAATCTCTCAGACCTTATCTCTTGCCCCCAAAATGCCATGGGTGATGGCAGAGTTGAAAAGTGATGACAGTGGAGTCAAGTATAACATTCAGCCTAAACCTAATAATTACCACTTACCTGTGAGAAAAAATGAACTAATAACTTCATATCCAAATGAATTTGCTGAGACTTTTCCAGTTGGAATTGATAAAAGAACAAACAGACCTTAAACTGGTAGGTGCAAAACGAATGTATTGGCTAATATGTACCAAAAGTACAGAAGTAGATCCTTATTTCATATACAGATGGTTCCAGTTCTGTTGATGTCGTGAAAATTAGTCTCCTTCTGTTTTTTGTTTTCCTCTGGGAGGCTCTCAGGCAGGCCTTTTCCTCATGGAAACCAATGGCTGGTCGAGGCTCTGTCCTGTCCTTCAGAAACCCCATTGAAAAGAGCCTCTTTTCCCAGTGGTCCCAGCAGAAGCCCCAAGGTTGAGATTCATCAGACAGATTTGGGTCATATGCCGACTCCCTAGACCAGTGGCTGTGGCCAGGCTTGGGGTTTAGAGTTTGGGATGGGAGGTGAAGCACATGGACTGAGATGGGGATGGGGCGATACCCAAGGAAGATACAGGTTCTGTTACCAGAAGAAAGGGGAGCAGATGTTGGACAAACAAAACAACAGATGTCCACTAAATTTAAAGAAAACAAGAAAATTAAACAGAATTCTTGAAGACCAAATTTCATATAGTCTGAAATGCCTAAGAAAACCTGAACTGTCCCTAGCATACAGTCCCCACGCCATATTTACACACACACGCGCACACACACACACACACACACACTCTCACATCCTTACCTCCGGCTTGTCAGGTGCCACCTGGAGTAAGGAATTGTGGCCAAGCCTCTTGTAACTGTCCAGGACTATTACGTGATATCATGAATGGAGAAAATACAAGTATATTCCACACAGCAGACTAGACAGCTTTTACTGTCACTTCCTGGCCTATTTCCTATTAACAGGATTTTAATTTCAGGGGCGCCGGTGTGTGTTGAAAGATTGCTGCAAAATTCTTGACAACACAGTGTTACCCCCAGAAACTGTAGTTCCACCGTTCACCGTCTTCTCAGGCTGCCCAGGTAACCTTGGGGTTCCTTTACAAAAGTAATGCATGCAATTTCTGTCTCGAATGGTACATTGGTCTAGCTAACCTAAAAATTCTCCTGGTACAAAGTACCTAGAAATGCTATGTAAAATATAACTAGTGTTTTTTTTATATATATGCACTATTGAGTTCACAAGGAAATTATTAAGGATCAGAAGCAAAGAGAAAACTAAACCCACACTTTTAAACTTACTTTGGTTGATGCTGTCTTCATGATAGAGTGGTTTAGGGTATGGTGCTCCGGTAGGGATGAGAGATAAATGGCAGAGAGATCCTCTCAAAGGGCTATCCCTCAATAAAAAGTTGACGTAGGGCAGACCTGCCACCAGCAGAGGAAGAGTACAACGAAGCATGTCTGTCTTGGCCTGGGCTCTGGTAGGAAAAGAAGTCTCTCCAGAGACTTCTATGGCCTTACCCTCATACTGGTTGGGGATTTGAACTTGTACTTCCCACCCTGTCCAGGAATGCCCTAACTGAAAAGTTACTATAAAACATGGTCTAAGACCAGTGGGAGTCTGGGACACCTGAGAGAAGTAAATACATTATCTCTTGACCTCGGCCGACAGGATGCCCACAGGCAAAGGCCTTATGAGCTCAGAGTTCCAGGTTACAAACCTGTGAGGTAACAAAAGCAATCCCTGCTCATCCCAGAAAGCTTGGAAAACACCAAAAAGAAAAAGGAAGAAGAAAACCTCACTTTCTCCCACCCCTACCCTAAGACAGTCTCTTCTCTTCTGTATGTTGTTTGCACAGTGGAAGTCATGTTGCACACACAGGCACATCACAGATTCACAGATGGGAGATGATGGGAGGAGAGAGATTTGACGATATATGACATCTACTGCTGGGTGGTTTCATTGTTTTTCCAATTAAAAAAAATCTCATTACTCAGATCATTGAATATGAATTTCAAAGATGTACAAAATCATTCAGATTCTTTGGGGAGGAGATTGGCCATTCTGCTGTTTCATGCATGTCTGCGTTTGCAGGCAGAAGAGGAAGAGTCTTTTGTTCCGTAATTCTCTCCATATTGGGTTCCCAGTGTGAAAAAGTTTAACAGTTCTTAGCAAGTGCTTGGTCAGAGCAGTCTCGGCAATTATTGTAAGTGGTTGTCAGACAAGCATCTGGTCTGAGGTGGGAAGTGTACTGCTGGAGAAATATCTTAATCTCTTTTAACTTACTCAGTGTCCTTAGAAGCAGCCTATGGTCTCTGAGCACTGATGGCAGATAGCAGCGAGGCACTGTGTGGAGGTTCGGCCTCGGACCTTAGAGATTGTTGTATAGATGAGGGAACTGAGGCCTAGAGAGGCTGAGTTGTCCAGTGCATCGGAGCTGGTTAGTGGGAAAGTGTTGACAATCACTTAAGACTCCTTATTTAGAGTCCAGCACTTTTTGCACTACGATACTTCCCATGTTTATTTTACGTAGTTTTGCAGACAGGTGCTAACCATCTAGACACCGTTGTTGGCAATCTCCCTCTTTAATAAAGGGGCATAGGGTTGCAGGAACACTAGCATGTTTTCAGAGGGCTCCACAGCATGAAACCAAGTTAAAATGAAAGGTAAACCATCCAGAGAGGATCTGGGTTAGGAACCAAAAACTCAGATGCCCACAGGAGCCAGGCAGATCATGGAAATGACTGAAGGAATAGCCTATCATAGCTGTTTAAGAATACAGGCTTAATATTATGAGAACTTCTGATGTTTCACAGGAGGCTAAAAATCTGAATTTTTATGTGATATTTCTGAATTTTTAATTGTTGACTACAAATTTTAAAAAAAGAGTAAATACTGTGCAGACTAAACATGTAAAAAAAGATTAAATACTGTGCAGACTGAACATGGGCTGCTAATTTGTAAAAGGTGCCTGTGAGGATTGTGTATCTTTTAAGACCATATTTTGTGTCCTACCTGTTACTTTCTCTCTGTATATATACAAGTCCACATGTGTGTGGTTTTGTATGTATATGAACATATAGATATGTGTGTATATGTGTGTGTATATTGCTGTATGTAATGTGAAAATGTTTTTAACATATATGAACAGAATCACACTCTCTACTCTGTTAGGAAGCTTGCTTCCTCAACAGTATATCTTGGGCATCTTTTCTTGTCAGTGTGGAGAGATTCATCTCATTCTTTTTAACGATTACATGGTTTTCATTGCATCAATGTCCCACAGTGTGACTAATCATCCCCTGGTATAATGGATCAAAAGAAGTTGTACTTGGCTTTTCATTATTAGAAACTTGGCTGCATTGATGCTTTTGTACATGTATTGTTGCAATTGGGCAAGATTATCTGTGGAATAAATTCTCAGAAGTTGGATTTTAAGAGTACAGGGTATGAACTTTTAAAAGTTTTGCGAGATATTCCTAAATTGCTCTTCAAGTGGAGTTTATACTTACACCTGTAGTGTATGGAGGTGCCTCTATCCCAGAAATTCTTAAATAGGATTCCCCATCTTCTCTCTTTCTATAGGACATTTCTGCTCTACTCTCATCCATGAGTTGTCTGTGTCTAGTTTCATTGTTATGAATAGCAGGGCAGTGTCTTTTCTCAGGAGCGCTCACCTTGGCTTGACCAGCAGGTGTCACACCAAAATCCAGGAGGTGGACAAAATCGATTCAGAGATGCTTTAACTCTTCAGATCATGCAATAATACACTAACCTCTTCTACTTGGAATATATTTCTGCATTTTGGGAACAGTGTTACTTGTTTCCCACACACACACAAATTCACATCACCTTGAAGGTATGGTCAGTAGAAATATTCTGTTAGCACCAAAGATGGAAAACCTAGTATTTAGACATTCATGACTTCAGAAAGGGGGCTTCTAGGGGTTTCAGCAGAAGTCAGAGCTCCTCTGGCTCCTCGTGGTTGATCAGGTCTTTCTTTCCCCAGGACTCTTCTCAGGGGAGCTCCCAGAATGTACCCAGGAGCTGATGATTGACGTCACCAAGAGCTACTACCAGAAGTTTTTGCCCTTGACACAGGTCTAATGTCTCTGCTCACGTCTTGAATTCACTTGAGCTCTAAGATGAACTTGGGGACAAAGTGAGCCAGTTTGCATTGACAGAGAGCTCTTGTGTCTTTGACACTTCTCACCCTCCTTTTTTTTTCTTTCTGTTTTTTGGTTTTTGTTTTGTTTAACCCCTTATAATTTCTCAGTCCTCCCAGGCTCTAAGCTCTTAAGACTTTAATAACAGAATGTCTGGAGGAGTTGTCTCCACATGCTGTGCTTAAACCATATCTATTAACAGTCAATTCATACCATTATCTGTGGAACACAGAATCATCTGTTCCCAACACTCCCACCCCTTGGTCCTGTGGACGGCAGCTCGGAGCAGTGCACCCTGTCCCAGCGTGGAGGCTGTGATGCACGTGTGCTGCTTGTGGCCATGAGGTACCCACAGTGAGCTCCACTCATGTGGATCACTCTCAGCTTCCCTGCTGCTCACACGTTTGGCCATTTGCCACAATTGCTTATAATCTTGAGGGGAAAAAGAGAAAGTGTTCGCAGCCTTTCAGAGCCTAGACCCCTGTTGGCTACTAAAACTTGAGGGAAGGGTGATTAGTATTCCTCCTCTTTGCAAAATGACCTTAAGTGTCATTTTAATCAGGGGGACTGATAAATGACTTTCTGGCATTCTATTCTAGGGCCGTCGGCTTTCACTAAAAAGCGGGCCCTCAGCAGCCAGATTTTATTTTGCAGAGTCCAGGTTTGAGTCTCCCACGTGCCTAGTCTGGGCAGCCACTCCTTCCCTACCGGTATTTGGGGGCAGCAGTATATGCCTTATTTCCCTGGAGACGTAGCATTTGTGACACTTGCTCCCTGGCCTAGAACCATTCAACCCACCCTGTATTTGCCATAAACCTCACAGTTCAGACCAAAACATCTGTACTTGGGCCCAATCTCATACATATATAGGGGCCTCTTAAAACCGTTCTGTGGGCACAGAGCCCCGAGGAGTAAATGAAGTTGCCAGGGCTGTTCTTACCATCTTCTGGGTAACAGCACAGCCCTTCCTGCTGTGCTCTGGCCTCCTGGTTTGGAAGGAGGATTTAGAAGTAAAGGCCTAAGAAGGTTGGTCTTGCTTAATGCTCTGGTGCTGCTGTGTGAATGGGGAAGGACAGTCCAGCCTCGAAGGTGAGGATCTAGCAGGAGCTGTCTTGACTTAATATCCGGTTGTGTGGTTTGCAAAAATAGCTGTGTGTAGTCTTCTCTGCTAGTTCAATGTCAATCTGCTTTCTGGTTTGTCATTTTTTTATGTTTGTGCATTAAAAGATCGACACATGAAACAAGTCACTTGAAGGTAATTACTCTCCACCTCCAGCGATGGCGACCTCTCTTCCATGGGCCATTCCACTGCGTGCCTGGTGCGCTCCTGCGGGCTTTATGTTCACCTGCTTCCTTATGGCTCACATCAACCCTGTAAGGTGGATGTTATCCCCATTTTACAGATGAGGAAAAAAACTGGAAGATGTTAGATCACTCGGTCCAAACCACATGGTGAAGAAGTGACTGCCCCGGGAGTCACATGCTTGACTGTCTGGCTCCACAACCCACTCTCTTCAGCCCTGCCGTGGTAAGATGGGACAGTCTGATGCGTCCTGTCTGATACCAGCAGTCTGTGATGGTTGCAGCTTTTTGGGGAGCCATACGCTTCAGCTCCCTTTTCCATTTGTGCCACTGAAGGTGGATCTTGGAGATGGCAGAGCTTGGGTGCACCCTAGGCTAACTTCTTTCTCACTAGAGAGATCTTCCAGGGTGTATCTGACAGATCCCGCTCCAGCCTGGGTTCGAATACCTCCAAAAGGGGGCTTGCCACCACTGTCCATTTTCTTTTTAACTTATTTTTTCCCCAGCTGTTTTGAGATATAACTGACATATAATTTTTTTGACTGTCCATTTTGTTGGTGAACAACTAAAATTAAGAGAAAGTGGGATGTGCGGTTTTTTTTGAATCTTTTAAAATTTTTTAAGTAATTCAAATACATGATTCCAATCCAGTTAGTAAAGAAGGGGCATACAATGAAGTAAATTTTCCGAATCCAGAATCCAGCCCCATGTTCTACTTCCCAGAGGCAACCACTCAGGACAGTTTTTGCTCTCTCCTACCAGTGACTCGTCTGCACTTGGCACAAGCAGTTACACACGTACACACCAGCCTCTCTGCATTCAGACAGATGCGAGCTCACATAAGATGTGCTGTTCTGCACCTCACTGCTTTGACTTAACAACGTATTTTCCAGATTGTTCCATTTCGGCACATACAGGTGGTAAAAACAGCAGTGGTTAACCTTTATGGTGTTACCATGGACCAGGTACTCTTCTGAGTCCTTTAGCTCTATTAATTCCTTTAATCCTTACAATAGCTACAGGGTAGGTCTAGTTTTTCTTCCCAAGAAACAGGGGGTAAAGTAAATGGCCCAGATTTATTCAGCTAATGTGGTGGTGGATCTGGGCGTCCTGGCCCTAGAGCCTGGACCTTTAGTCACTGTGCAGGAGTCCCCCCATGTTGTAATAACTGTCATTGTCCCAAAATCGGATCATCTGGCTGGCTCTTGCTAGACAGAAAGCTTTTTCAGGCAGGCAAGGAAAAGGGGTTTGGAAATGAGTATTGGCTGAACCATCTGACAAAGTCTGCCACAGGCAGGAGGAGGCCTAGTGCCCCCTCCGAGAAGCCTGCCCCCTTGCCATGTGCCCTGTTGTCTTGTCGCTGCAGCCGTGATCTGACTAGTTAAATGGGAGCGGGTCCCTTGGGAGAACTGTCTTGCTTGCAGCCATTGAATGGTGTCTTACAATTCTGTACCACATGGCTGGCATCCTATAAAGGAATAAACAAACTAGATTAGACAAAAATCCAATTAGAATGCTTTGTTGCAAGCGACAGAAATCCAGCTTGAACCAATTTAATCATAAAAGGGGTTTTATTGGCTTACACAACAAATCATGGAGAAGACTAGTTTGAGAAGCCGTGTAACATGAACCTTGGGCAGGTTACTTCGTCTCTCTGTGCCCTCGCATCTAAGCTGTATGGTGGGAGGGACAATAGCATCCCGGAGAGTTTATTAAATGAGATACTACGTGTAGATATTAAGGAATTCCTGGCACTTAGAAGCATTCTGTAAGTAATAACCTATTATCAGTGCAGGGACAACCATACCTAGAGATTTCAACCCCATCAGGGCTCTTTGTTTTTATCTTTTTCATCTTTAGTAAAAGTATAGACCAGGCTGCTGTAATAAAGAGACCATCAAAATATAGTGGCAAAAGTCGATTTCAGTACAAGGTAGAAGGTTATTTCTCTCACCTGTGCAGCAATAGGCATGGGGTCCAGGGCAGGAAGGTGGCTGGGCTCCATGATGTCATCTGGCACCCAGGTTCCCATCTTGTCACATGGCCACGCTGAGCTGCAAGGGAGGCTGTAAATTTAGTGTCTAGTTGGGCAGCCAAGAGTCTGAGGAAGGAGATTCTGGGAGTAAAGAGGAGAGGGAGAGAATGGATGCAGGGAGACAGCCAGCAGACTCGCCCAGGCCTGGGTGTTGGCTTCCTTTTCTGCTGCTGCCACTGGGCTTTCTCCATGCACTGGGGCACGTGGCAGCTGACAGCTCCAGACTTGCATCCTCCCAGCTTGGGGGCCCTGAAAGAAAGATTTCTTCCCTCCAGTTCTAATTTGGAAAAATCTCAGAGAAAGGTTCTCACTGGTTTGTCGGGAATCCCGTGCCCTCTTGGATCAGTCGCTGTGGCCAAGGACGTGTGGCCCTGTGATTAACCCGATCCAGGTCATGGCCTTTCCTCCATCCCCCCACGGTGGAGAAACAGCAGAGCCCATTTCCAAAACAGAGTGTTGGGAAGACAAAAACAATACCTATTACAAATAGTAAACAAGTCTATCATTGTGGACTGATACGGTTTGAAAGCGTGTTGACAGTCGTGTGTGTCCTGGGAGAAGCCAGCTGGACTCTGTCTCCATGGTGGCTCTCACCCCAGGGACAGTCTATCACCAGACGGTTACTTTTATTACCACAGAGAAGAAAATCTCTTTGTCCTCATAATACTCCCAGAAGAGCAGGCAGATGGAAGAGACCTTGGTTGGTTAGGGCAGAGGGGCTAGTTGGCTCATGTAGCTGATAGGGCCAAGTCTAGATGTGGCTTGAGGCTGGATTCTAGGACTGACCACAGCATCAGCAGGCAGCTGTCTCTCTTCAGCTCTTGACTCTGCTTTCTTGTGAACTGGCTTCATTCTCAAGGCTTTACAATGTGACCCTGTAGCTTCAGTTGTTGATAGAAAGAGCTCCTCTTCCCTGATAAAACCCCTGGACCTGTCTCTCACTGGTCCAAATCGAGGAGGTATCCAGACTCAAGTAACCACTGTGGCCAGGAAGATGGGATACACTGATGGGCTGGGCCTGGGACGTGAACCCACATGGACTGAGACTTGGTAGTTGAGGGTGATTTTACCAGAAGAGGAGAAGAATGGGTGCTGGGCAGGAAGAATCATCAGGTGTCAAGTTCAGAACTTTCCCTTTCTCTGGACATCTTCACTTTTCTCCGTCTCCCTTCCCAGCCTTAGCCCCTCAATCCCTCATTACTCTTGGTCTTGGGGAGTACCTTCTGAGGGGTACCTGGGCCTGGATTAGCAGCACAGAGAGGATGTTGCTTAGCCAAAGTAGGGTGTTCAATAAAGAGCCATCTGAAGGTGCTCTTCTTCCTGAAACTGCTTCCTCGTGGACCCCATAGCACCTTATTGCCGGTGTGTTGTGTGTGTGTGTGGGGGTCCTTGTCAACGTCTAGGTGGAATTGTAGTTGTGTCCCTGTGTTCCTATCTGAGCCCACGCTAGCTGTGAGCTCCTAAGAGGGCAGACATGAGCCTGTGGTATCCAGCACATACTTAATGGGGTGGGTCCTGGATGTGGGTCCCTCTCCCCCTAGTTTCCACCCTACCCTAGATAAGTCTCATGTTGCAGGATCCTGGGTGCTGGGAACAAGGCTGAATGGTTGACTTGTGAGCCTCCTGTTGACCGATTCTGTTCCATGTAGCTGCACAGGGACCTTGTGGTTGATTGGGATCTGTGGTGGCTTCTGAATTAGTCACTTCTGCATGAGCCAGTTCACTCAGAGCCCAGGCCGCAGCCCCATTCTTAGTCACTCTGGCCCATCTGGGTGATGGCAGACTTGGAATGAATCAGACAAACATTGCTCCTGTTAACACATCCTTGGCAGTTTCTCAGCTATAAAGCAGGGATCTTGCTGGCTAGGGAGGCCTTTCTTGGTATCTTGATCTGGCTGGTGAGAGCCCTCAGGGTGTCCAGAACGCAGAGCTCAGCCGTGTTCTGACTTGCCCTCAGCTGTTCCCCAGGACAGACTGCATCTAACAAAACTGGGTGGTTGCTGTGCGTGGTCAGATCTAGCTGGCTGATCTCCTAGGGGTAGCTTCTATGGAGCTGTGAGACTCCTGAAATGGCAGGGCTGAAACAGTGTGTTCAGTGGTCTGGTAGTTTCAAAACAGGTGTCAGCAAAATGTCCTGCCAGCATGGACCAGTTCCCATAGGTCCATGATCACTGAAACCCTGCTAAAGTCCCAGTGATGGGGTTGTGCTTTTGTAGAACATATACTTGCTGCTCTTTAGGGATAGGAAGTGGGGGCCCTGACCACATGCTATGTCACTCGTATATTCATTTGACAAGTACTTACTGTGCCACTACTGAGTGCCAGGCACTGCCCTCGTGGAGCGTAAGACAGAACCAGTCCCTGCCTGCAGGGATCTTACAGCTTAGCCAAGGGAACAAAGTAGACTTCTCTGATGGAGGCCTGAGGGGCCCTTCTTGAGGGTGACCCTAGCAGCGAAGGGTGTGGGTGCTGGGGGCAGCAGATCAAGTCCCAGCACTGCTTGTGCCTTTCAGGGAGTTATCTCGCCTTGTGGAACCTCAGATTTCTCATCCTTAAAATGGGGAAGATGTGTCAGGGTTGTTACGATGATTAAATGCATTCATACATGAGAATCATGAGTACAGGCTCATGGTGAGCGCTCGGTAAGCGGTACAACTACTGTTACTAGGACGGCGGCACCTATAGCATACTAGGTGTGTTATACTATTATGTAGACCTTCCACTATTATTAGGAAGTGAAACCCTACAAGGTGCAGCATTCCTAGATTTTTTAAAAATTTAAAATGAAATTAAGACCACCTTTCCCTTTATAACTGGTTCACTATAAAGAGGAGATGGGGAAAAGAAATCACCCGTCCTTGCTTTGCATCTAGGGGGTGCGAGGCACTTCTTAGAAAACGTTTACTCCTCCCAACCGTCAAAAAAGTAGGGGTTTTTACAACCCATTATATAGACAAGGAAACCAATCTTCAGAGAGGTTAAGTAAATTTGCCCGATGTCACATAGCTAATTAATGGCTGAGCGGGAATCAAAGCCAAGTCTTCCCTGGCTGCAAAGTCCATGTTTTATGCAGCAAAGCACTTGGCCCTGAGGACTACACTTGCTGCTCTGTCAGTTAGTCCTTTGCTTTCCTGCAGTTTCTGCTGGTGGGTCAGCCACACCTGCTTTTATTATGAGCTCTGACCCTTACCCTGAAGTGAGAAGAGATAGCACAGACGTCCAGCTTCCCTGAGGAGGCTAAAAATAGCCTTTTCTGTATCTTCAAGTCCAGTGGGCGTCAGGCAGACGGTTGGTGCATATGATAATCAGTCAAGAAAGAGACACGGGAACGGAGTCCACACCTCTCTGGCCTTCAGACCTTAGCTCTGAAGCCCATGGGTGTTCTTGGTCCTACCAACTTGTCTCTTCAGCTGCATTCATCTCAGCCTTTGCTGTCTGCTGGGTGCACTTTGTGACTTCCGATGGAAGTAGCAAAAGCCTGAGGAAGCAATGTGGCCAGAGGAGAGGGGAGAAAAAGGAAATGTGAGAAGCCCAGGAACTGAAAAGGCCTGTTGATGACTTTAAGCAACTTGGGAATAGGCACAAGTTCTTTTTATTTCAATAATAATAACCACCACCACCACCACCACCATCACCATCACCATCACCATCACCACCACCATGTACTTGGTCCTACTTGAAGTACTGTGCTCATAGAATCTCTTCACAAGAACCTTAGGAGATAGGCACATAACCTCCTAGATAGAATCCTAGGAGATGAGTGCTATAATTACCCTCATTTATAGACCTGGAAATTGAGGCACAGAGAGGTTAAGTCACTTGCCTGAGGTCACACAGCTAGTCAGGGGTGGGGCTGGTGTTTGAGATCAGGATTTTTTTAGTCCATGAGTTTAACCAACACATCACATTGCTTTTTGGTAGGAGGGAGGGAGTGAGGGAGTGAGCAAGTGAACCAAATGAGTCTGGGATTTGGTTCTTGCCAGACAGACAAGGCCCTGAGAGGCCATGTGCAGACAGGTGTGCTTTGGAGTCAGCAGAGTTGGGTCGAAATTCAGACTCTGCTACCACTTCTTGACTGCCTGACCTTGGGCAAGTAACGGAATACAGAAGTACTTATTTCCTCATCTTCAAATGGGAATAGTAGTCCTTTTCTCCTGGTGTCTTTGGGTGGATTCGAGGTAATTTCTGTAAAGCTCTTGGCCTCATGCCTGGTGTGTAGTGGGTCCGTAAGGGCTTGTTGTTAGCATTGTTATTGCTGGTCCTGTGCGGATGGACTGGCTTTGCATGGCCCAGCTGCAGCCGTACAAAACTGAAACTCGACGTTGACAAGGACTAGGAGGGACTGTGAAAGCAGCTGTTAAAGGATGAAAGGGAATTACAGTTTCTTCAATGCTTCATCATTTTTAAAGTAAATATTCCTAATGGAATAAATAAAACACACTTGAAGTTGCAGTAGGTGCTCAACAAGCCTTTGAATGAAATGAAAAACACTCTAAATATTTTTTAATTTAATTCGATTTAATTGCTTAAAATATGATAGTGGATACCCTTGGCTGGTTGTTACTGAAAGGGGGCCTGTGCAAAAAGAATGAACACTGCAGGCCTGTAATGATAACCCTGTAGGTGCTGAATTTACTGCCAGGGGGTTGAGTAAATTTGTAATGAAAAAAAATGGGAAGTTTTTTTTTTTAAATGCCTTTGTCTTTTGTGGCTATTGTATCTGAGTATATGATAAAATTGATTTAAAATGTTACATGCTTGTAATTTCATAAATGCTAGAGGAACCATCTCAAACTAACATGCAAGAATACAATAAAATTAAGAAGGTGTTGGTGGGATACAGCTTCCTTGCTTTTGCCATTGGTGGATGGGTTGGAATTTAAATTCTTTGGATATTGGAACCAGAACATGTCTCCATAACCAATGATTTTCTCTGTGACTTGTGTCTGTTGGAGCCTCTGGAAAGAGGGTGATGACATGAAAAGAGAGGCAATCTCTGGATGGAAATATACATTTGTATTCGAAAAAGCAGTTAAATTGCTAATGAGCCTCTGTTGAAATCAAATATCTGACCCTTAGAAGCTGATGACTGTCCAGTCTGATGTACATATTTTTGAGTGGGTCAGTTTGGGCTCCAAGACTGACAAGATAAAAAGGAACCTTGCTGCTGCTTGGACGTGGACCATGGCTGTCTGGCATTGCAGCATACCTTTGCTGCTGCCGAAGAAAAGCACCTGGCTTGTTTGGAACCCCAAATTCACTGATCCTAGTTGCCTGGACCCAACTCTAAGCTGACCCCTGATACTGGCTGTCATGCACTGTTTCAGCCTCAGCAGAAGCTATGCTCAACTGAAAGCAGACTCGGGCTCCGTGAATAGGACACAGATGCTGGGACCACTGGAGATTTAGGACTCCTCCAGTAGGGCTCTAAATGATGAAAACATACATCATGGATGCTGGCTGTACCACCTGAGTCACGTACAGATGCCCATGGGAAAGCGTCTGTTCTCTGATGAGACCATCTGAAACCAAGCTGCTGATCAGCTCTTTATATCTGATGCCGAGGCGAATTGCATCCTGACTTGTGATTCCTGCCAAAAGCTGCAAGTGAGAGGAGGGCACATCACAGGGGCTCTGACTCTTCCACCCGCTTTTGACAGATCAGGCTCTGGGCCTTCTCTGGGGGATGGCTCGCTGCTGCTGACCGGTGTGTTCGGCATTCTGGATTAGTTGCAGTTTGCTACAGATAGCCTGTGACTTTGATTCTGCCTCCTCACCTCTCCCTCAGTATACACACCTTAGTAAGGTAGGTTGATTATTCAGTGTAGCTGTCTCCAGAAAGGGACTGATCTTTTCTAGGCTGTCCCTGGTTAACAGGGGTGGGAGGTTATGTAAACCCACTTCGAAATTTTTTAAATTCAGGATTTCATCCTCTTATTGGTTTGTTAGGGCTGCTATAACAAAATAGCACAGACGTGGTGGCTTGCTGGTGTTTAAGCCACCAATAGAAATGTGTTTTCCCACAGTTCTAGAAGCTAAAAGTCCAAGATCAAGGTGTCGGCACGTTTCTCCTAAGGCTTCTCTCCTTGGCTTGCAGATGGCAGCCTTCTCAACTCTGTGTTCCACGTGGTTGTCTCTCTGTGTTGTCTGTCTCCTAATCTCTTCTTAGAAGAACACCAGTCATATTGGATTAGGGCCCACCCAGATGGCCTCATTTTTCTTTAATCATCTCTTTAAAGGCTGTATCTCCAAGTACAGTCACATTCTGAGGTACTGACCATTAGGACTTCAACATGTAAATTTGGAAAAAACACAATTCAGCCCATAGCCTATCCGAATCAATTCCTGAATCTGTCTTTCTGGTTCAATTGTATTAAAATGTTTATCTGCAAAAATACTTCTGTGCCTCTTGCATATAGCCCTTCTGGATGAAAGTCCTGGATGAGAATAATAGGTGATGGAAAAAATATAAAGTTAGGATCGCTGATCTCTGGGGCATGTTGATTTTGTAACAATGAGAAAAAACAGAAACCTGGCACCTAGAGAGCTTTGGGGAGCTTGGGGGAACGTTTATGATCTTGGTCAGAACTGATCTGGAAGCTTTCTCCTCTTTATGAAGGAAAACTCCTGGCACTGCCTTTCCATGCTTGAGAATGCTTTCGGTTCAGATGGCTGAGCCTGTGATCATCCCTGTGCTGAGAATGTGACAACAGAAGGGGCCTGGCTCCTGTACTTTCCATACAGAACACCTTTCAGTGTCTCCCACACTCACGAGATCATGAGCTGAGTAACCTGGTTTCCTGGACAAACAAGATTGTTTGGAACTGACTGTCTTCAGGCACTCTCTCAGAAGCTAAGGACTGGATGAATTTCTCAGACTGGACTGGAGACTTGTGCAGGAGGCCCCAAGGCAGGAGGCTGCGGTAGATGGGGTTCCTGATAACCTGTACGGCCTGCCTAGCGTACGCTCTAGTTGAGGTATTCTAACATGAACTCGTTTTCAGTGATCACATGTACCCTTTGGAATTGCACCTCGTCTCTGCACTATCACCACGCTGCCTCAGCCCTGGAAGGCTTCGGGTCAGCTTGAATTTACCGGCCACAGCTGTGCCTGAGTCAATGCCGTGCGCCAGGTAAAAACGAGTCATGCAGAAACTGAGGAGGAGGCCGCCTGGCTTTCTAAGATAAACTTTTATGGTTAGTGGGATTTACATTAATTGGCATAACTGAGACCATATTGCAGGTTGGTCTCATCCTTGTGTTTGGGGTCCTACCGATGATAATTTTGCTCTAAAGAAGACTTGGCCGGAGACCAAGGGGGTGGACTGTGCAGAAAAGAGCCAAGAAAGCAGGCCTGAGACTGCCCTCCTTCGGAAGACCGCTTGCAAGTTGGCCCTCGGCTGGCATCTGGGTGCTTGGATTTCAGGAGGGTTCTCACCATTCCCTAAATGATCAGCGTTGATCACTGGGCCTAAACTGTGCAAACGGTGTGGCTTATGTGGCGCACCTGCTTTCCTTCCAGGAACCTGGAATTTTGGCGTGTGCTAGGCAGAGGGTGCCTGCGTGACCAGCCTCTAGTAAAAGCCCTGGTGCCGGGTCTCTAACGAGCATCCCTGGTAGACAGCACTTCACAAGTCATGCTCATTGCTGGAGGAATTACATGTGGCCTGTGTGACTGTACTGGGAGAGGACTCGGGGAAGCTTGGGCTGGTTTCCTCTGGATTTTGCCCTATGCACCTTTTCCCTTTGCTGATTTTGGTTTGTAGCCTTTCGCTGTGATAAATGATAGCCTTCTCTAAGTAGGTCTCTATGCTGAGTCCTGTGGGTCTCCTAGCGAATCATCAAATTGGGGCGTGGTCTTGGGGCCCCCAACACAGGGCACAAGGGGGACTTCTGGGATGTTGGTAGTGTTCCCTTTCTCAGTCTGGGTGCTGTTTACATGGGGTGTCTTTGGTTTGTGAGAATTCACTGAGCTGTACAACCAAGACAGGTATGCTTTTTTGGTATATAGATTCAACTTTATAAAAAGATAAAACAGAATATTACACACCACAGGGATTAAAAAATAATAATTAAAAAACACTTCTTTTTATTTAGCAAACATTTTTATCACTCCTTTTTACCAGGCATTGTGCTGGGGCCTTGGGACATGGGATAGAAAAGATGTCATCACTGCCTTTCAGTTTATTGGGAGTCAGATAAAGAGATGTATCTCTTTGATTTCTGTTGAGTTCTAGCAAAGATATGACAGACACTAAAGGGTTTCTAACTTGGATAATTTGCTATTGCAGTGTTGCCACTCGAGTATCTACAGAAGCCAGACAGGCAAATGGGCAAAGAATGGTAGCTGGGAACTCTGGCAGACTGGGAAGGTATGTAGGAAAGAGTTGCCACAGCTAATAGTTGTTTTTTGGGGTTTTGTTTTTTAAGGAAAAGCCACAGATCTGAATTTTTATGTGAGCTCTCTTGATTTTTGAGTGCTGTAAATTAATCTAAATTTTATAAAGTGGGTGGCCAAACAAAATACCCCTGCAGGCCAAATTTGGCCTTGGCCTACCAGTTTGCCAGGCATTCTGTCAACCAGCCTTCTCTCTTACCAAACCATCAAGGGTCCACTATTTTAGGCACTGGGAAATAGATCAGTGGCCCAGCCAGACAACTTTCTTGCAGAATGGGGATTTCTGGACTGTGCTTCTCAAACTTCAGTATACGTAGGAATCACTGGGTAGATTCTGAGTTGGAGATCTGCGGTGCGCCCTGAAGCTTGGCCTTCCTAACAGGCTCCCAGGTGATGGTGATGCTGGTGGTCCCTGAACCATACTTTGAGTAGCGTTGCTCTGTAATCCGGAGAGGCTCAGGAGCAGCTGTTTGAAGGAGAGGAGTAGAGGGGTTGTCATGAAGGTGCATTTGCCTGGAAAGCATCCTTTTTTTACTTAGATTTTAGTTTATTGGGGTGACTTTGGAAGAAGTTGATGACTTCGGAGGCGGGTGCTCTGGCTCTCCCAAGCTATCTCTTGGCGCTGCCAGGTCACTGTTCTGTTTATAAAGTAGAAGGTGGGGTGGGGGTGGAGGAAGCAGCTAGGAAAAGCTTCCTGCAGGAGGTGCACGTGAACTGCCGGAGTTTCCCCGGCTGCCCTGCAGAGAAAGGGAGAAACCCTGAACTCCCCATCTCCTGGGGCTGGGTCTCCGCCTCCCCACGCTGGGTATGGTTTCCCAGGCATCCCACGTGTCTTCCGTCCTCAAGTACCTGTCAATCAACTTTCCCCCACGGGCTGGATAGGAGTTTAAAGGCGGCTGCGGTGCAGAGCGCTCCCATAGTGCCGCGCGGCGGGCGGGTTTGGATTTTAAATCCCCGCGGCCAATCAGTAGCGCGTAGGCTTTTGTAACGTTCCCGGCGCCGCGTTTGAATTCGAGGAGGGGCAGAGCGGTGCCAATCCTCTGCCCAGACCCTGCTAGGTCTGCTGAGCAACTCTGGGAACATGAGTGCGGCGGCAACTGCAGGAAAGCTGGCGCGGGCACCAGCCGACCCAGGGAAAGCCGGGGTCCCCGGAGTTGCAGCTCCCGGGGCACCGGCGGCTGCCCCGCAGGCGAAGGAGATCCCGGAGGTCCTAGTGGACCCGCGCAGTCGGCGGCGCTATCTGCGGGGTCGCTTTCTGGGGAAGGGCGGCTTTGCCAAGTGCTTCGAGATCTCGGACGCGGATACTAAGGAGGTGTTTGCGGGCAAGATCGTGCCTAAGTCGCTGTTGCTCAAGCCGCATCAGAAGGAGAAGATGTCCATGGAGATATCCATTCACCGCAGCCTCGCCCACCAGCACGTAGTCGGCTTCCATGGCTTTTTCGAGGACAACGACTTCGTGTTCGTGGTGTTGGAGCTCTGCCGCCGGAGAGTGAGTGTCACTGCTGGGGGACTGGAGCTGCCTGGGGGTTGGGGTTGGGGCGCCCGGACCCGGAGCTGCTGGGGAAGGGGCGCCCCCGGGTCTCGGAGCTGCTGGAGAGGAAGTGCTGGGAACCTCGAGGTAGGGATGGAGAGGGTCTCGGATAGAGAGAGGGTGCTTGGCACTCGGGGCCGCGGTTGGGTGGGGGGGGTAGTTCCGGTTAGGTGGAGCCCGGGTCATGTTGCCTCTAGGGAAGGCAGCTTCTGGACGCCGGGAGTTGGGCAGAGTGGGGGAGGCGAGGGTCATGGGAGAACCCTGCTGATGAACCCTAGGGCTTCCGGAGTTGCTAAGGAAGGAGTCCCAGGAAAGGGGTACTGTGAACCGGAACCTTCCGGAGTAGGGTTGGGTCAGGCAAAGGGTGGTTGGAGCCAGACTTGGGAGCTTCCGGGGAGGAGGGGGGTCAGGAAAGGGATCTGCTGCTGCGACGAGGCCCGGGGCGGGGATACTGGGGTCCCTGAGCTTCCGGAGTGGGGCTGGGAGAGAGGTCCCAGATACGGGACTTGGTGGTAGAAGAGGTGCTGCCAACGGCTGTGGCCTGGCTTAGGGGAGAGCCTAGATCGTTGTTATCCTGGAGAAAGAATGGGGGCCCTGGGCTGCCTTTACCTAATGACACCCCCTCCCCACCTTGGGCCTGAGTACCGACTACCCATTCCTCCTTCTTTCCCCACGCCCAGTCTCTCCTGGAGCTGCACAAGCGGAGGAAAGCACTCACTGAGCCCGAGGCCCGCTACTATCTGCGGCAGATCGTCCTTGGCTGCCAGTACTTGCACAGAAACCGCGTTATTCACAGAGACCTCAAGCTGGGCAACCTCTTCCTGAACGAGGATCTGGAGGTGAAAATAGGTGAGGTGCTGGGCCTCCAGGGCACTTGACACTACAAGTGGGAGAGGGGACATGGGAAGGAGACAAGGAAGGGAGGAAGAGGATGGTAGGACATCTGGGCTGTTGATTGCCTCTAGAATCCTCTCTAGCAGAGAAATTTAAAACAAAGCCACAAGCGAGTATCTTGCCTACAGATGCATTTGTGTGTTTGTGTGTATGCTCCTACACAGTATGTTGTTTTTTGAAGAATTTGAATTTGTTTTCATTTTTTAAATTCGGAAACTTGATGTAAAATTTTGGATTTGGAGCACCTTTTAAACAGCATGTACAGGGAATATACAGGGACAGCATTCCCTCAGGGCAGCTCTTTGCAGGACTGAAAAGCAGCTGTTCCCTTTAGATGCCTTCTGGTTTGGCACAGTCCCCACTCTTCCCTATCACTTCCTCACAAACTTGCCAAGTAGCAGTTTTGAAATTTACTTGCTTGATCCCTGAAGGCATTTGAGTTTTGTTATCCCTATCAAATCCCTTTTAGGAGCAAAGCCCTCCTTTCTAAGGGGAGGGGTGAGGAGGGTTCTTGGGAAGGCCCCTCCTTGGGGCCAGCAGGGTGGGAGGATTCCTGGGCACGGCTTGCTGCACACCAGGACTAGAGGCTCGAGGGATCAAATGACCCTGGTTCTTGTTGGTTACACCTGAACCAGCTGTCTGCATTGACATGACAGAGGCTAGCGTCTGAGTACCCCCTCTTCCTCCCTCTGTCCCAGGGGATTTTGGACTGGCAACCAAAGTCGAGTATGACGGGGAACGGAAGAAGACCCTGTGCGGGACACCTAATTACATAGCTCCTGAGGTGCTGAGCAAGAAAGGGCACAGTTTCGAGGTGGACGTGTGGTCCATTGGGTGCATCATGTAAGTTGGAAGTTGTCTCAGGACCCACCGAGCCTCAGCAGGGGCCTTTTTGGACATCTCACCTGGCAGCTCTTATCCTGTAGACCTTTCTGCCTATGGAAAGGCTGCTCCAGAGGCTAGAATGCCCCAAAATGAAGCCTCATTTCCATATCTTTTCTTGTCACTGGTGTACCCTGTAGGACTCCTGCAGCCGGGGCTGTGAGAATGGGGAAGAAGGGGAGGGAGAATCTTCGCAAACTCACTCTAGCCCCTTGATATTCAAAGTGTGGTGCATAGACCAGCAGCAGCACCATCTAGGAACTTGTTAGAAAAGCAGGATCTCAGGACGGAGGCTGGATCAGGATCCGGATTTTAACACCATCCCTTGGTGATTTCCATACACAGGAAATTATTAGAACCCTGAGCTAGCAAGCAGCATTGGGCAGGAGGAATTAGGCCAGGACTTACAGCTGGCAGGAGGGGGTCCTGTGGTCTGTCTGAATCAGGGTCATCGGGGTGGGTGAGTGGTGGGCAGAAGTTGGGCCTGTTCAGGTGTTATCTTTTTTTGTTGTGGCCTGGGTCCTGGAAAGTTAGAAATGAGTCATAGCAACAGCTTTCCCACTTCTTTGCAGTGGAGCTTTTTCAAATGAAAACTTGCAGCCTTGAGTACAGAACTATTAACTGTGGAGCTGTCTCTGTAGGAACAGGTGGCCTACCCAATTTGACCTGTTTTGTGTTGGCTGGCAGCCTCTGGGGCCCTGGATTACTGCAGGCTAGAGCTGAAAAGTCACTGTTCCATGAGAATCCCATCTCATCACCTGTATCCTACTGAGGGTTCCTCCTGCCAGTGTCCGGGCTCCTGGGGCTGCTCAGGGGACTTGGAGCTGTCCTCAGAGGCTCCAGAGTCAGAGTGAGTGTCCAGAGGATGCCTGGCCTCTGTTCTGGCCCTGAGATGATTCCTCCTGCATCTGGATTTTGGCTGGGAGCCCTGAGCCAAACCCCTCCTTGTGCTTACAGGTATACCTTGTTAGTGGGCAAACCACCTTTTGAGACCTCTTGCCTAAAAGAAACCTACCTCCGGATCAAGAAGAATGAGTACAGTATCCCCAAGGTGACTAAAAACATTTTAAGTTTAAATATATTTTAAATGTATTTTTCTTCCAAAGCTATTTACTGAGTTCACCCATATCCTGGGGACAGAGGTAGGTCAACCCAACCTCTGGGGCAGTCACAGAGCTTTAGAGGGTCCATGTCTGAAATTGGATACAGAAGCTGACATATGTGCACAAAAGCATTTTATCCTGCGGAGAGAGTTTATAGATCCTCAAAGGTTGGGTAGATATCCCAAAAGATGTGTTAGAAAAAAAAAGAGAGGAGGTGGGGTGGGAAGGGAGTAGGAGGAAGATGCAGAGGTGCTGCTCACGCCTGGAGAGTGGACTGTCTTGATTCAGATGGGCTCTGCCACTTAGCAGACAGATCACAACAGACAAACAGCCTGGTTCTTCTGAACTACAGTTTCCCATCTGTAAAATGGAGTCACTGCCCCAAAGCACTGTGCATACAGTAAGTGCTCACAGAATCATGAACCACTGTGAGCGCAAAGTGGTGTGCTTTCACAACCACCAACGTAAGTGCGTTGAAAGGGGTGGCCTGCAACAGCCTGGCACACGGCTGCTTTCCAGTTTGGTGTCCTTGCCTTGTGTGAAGCCCAGAGCCCGATCTCTATAAGGACAGATGGAGAATGTCACAAAGAGTCAGTTCCGAGTGTGGGTGCTGCCGCCGACTACCTCGGTGGGTGCTGGCTTCACCACTTTCTAGCTGTGTATTCTTAGGCACTTAACCTCCCTGTGCCTTAGCTTCCTCATCTGTAAGGGTGTTCTTGTAAGGGCTAAATGACTTGATATACAGGAAATGCTTAGGATCCTTTGCTGGCACATAGTAAGTGCACACTTGGTGCCAGGCTGTTACTGTGTTTCCGACCTGCACGAGGCTGAATCTCCTGTGCACACAGGCCTGGTGCTGTGTGCCCATTTTATAGATAAAGACAGAGAGGCACAGAAAGTCGGCTTAGTTGTCACAGCTAGCATTATGGGGCAGGACCAGGACTGAAACCCAGTCTTTATGACCTCTGAGCCTGTGTTCTCAGGTGCTGCTCTAGTAGTGAGCCACTTTAATTATGCAGGAGCGAATTCTGGGGGAAAATGACCTCAAATTAATCTTGAGTTTCAAGAGGAAGGAGAAACGATCATTTTTGCACCTTTGGCTGACACTTGGTGACTCAGGAAGGCTGACCGTGGGAACTTGACCTGTTTACAGCCACTGAACGTGGCGTAGTCGAAACCAGGGCAGTGGGGCTGCAGTTTCTTTGTGGCAGTGCGGTACTCGGGTCCCCCATCACGTCCTGCTTATGGCTCTCCCACTCCACTCCAGCACATCAACCCCGTGGCCGCCTCCCTCATCCAGAAGATGCTTCAGACAGATCCCACTGCCCGGCCGACCATTCATGAGCTGCTCAATGACGAGTTTTTCACTTCTGGCTATATCCCTGCGCGCCTCCCTGTCACTTGCCTCACCATTCCACCGAGGTTTTCAATTGCTCCCAGCAGCCTGGATCCCAGCACCCGGAAGCCTCTCACAGTCCTCAATAAAGGTAAGCCAGGGTCTGGGGGGACAGGGGACCCCAGGAGAGCCTAGGCTTCAGGTGTGTAAATGGATGGCCTCAAAGCTCAGGTGGCCACTATGACAGGCCCCAGTCCTTGAATCCATGGTCCCCATCCTCATGTGGCAAAGTGCCCTTCTTCCCTGGGGCTCTGGCAGGAAGGACAGACCTTACCATGCCCTAGAAGATGAGAGTGACTGAATGCCATGCCTGAAAAATTCTTATCACCTTGAGTGGTTCGTTGGGAAAAAATATGAAAAATTTCAAGTACAAGGCAGTGGACCCCCCTCCATCCCCAGCAGACTCAGCATTATCAAGATTTGCCATGTTTGTGTCATCACTCCTTTTTTGTTCCTTTGAAATATTTTTGAAGTTAATCCCAGATATTTTATCATTTTACCCCCATAAACTTCAGTAGGCATCTCTTTAAAAGAATGGACATTTTCTTACAAAATCACATCCCATTGCATGGATTGTCATTGTTTCGAGGTGTCTTCAGAAGACAGAATTAGGAAATACATAATTGGGAGGGAGGGAACCTTGAGTTTATGCTGCTATTTCTGACTCACATTTTTTTTAACATTTTATTTTGATATTTGAAATTATCAAAAAGTGTAAGAATAGACAGAAACTTCCTGTATCTTATATCCCCTTTTCTCCACCAATTAACATTACTTACATTTGCTTTCCCTATCTGTCTATATAAATTTTTTTTCTGAACCATTTGATAGTAAATTGTATACATCCTGGTCTTTACCACTTAGCACTTCAGTGTGTATTTCCTAAAACAGAGCTTCTTTTACATACCACAGCACACGACACAGTTACCGAGTTCAGGAAATAAAACACTGATGTAATCCTGTCTTACAGCAATCTTTTTCTCCATTCTGGCGTTAATACTTTTCTTTTGGTAATCTGTAAGTGTCTGATTTAAATATACTATTATAGGATTTTTTTACTTCTTTAATTTTATACTTGTATTTCTTTTCTCTTACACTGAAAGCTTTGTTTCCTTACATTATATACATAAATTTTCAACATAAAAAGTAGTTACTGTTATGAAATGATATTTTATTTTCTTGCAGTTTTATTTGCCTATAAAATATATTTCAAAAAAAACCCCAAAACACTCGAAATACTTTATTTTTCTGTGGATATAGCACCAATGTAATACATCAGTTCATTTGCTTGGGTTATAATACTGCTGTTTTAAGGATTACTTTTTTCTTTCAGCTTTGATTTTTGACATTTTCATTGGTTATGTTAATATTTCCTTTGACTGTGGTGTGACCACTTGTTTAAGGTGGTGCCTCCACTGCAGAGTTGCTGTTTTCCCCTTTGTGATTAATTAATACCTTGTTGAGAGCTACATCGAGGCAATCCTATTTCTCCTCAAACTTTACACCCACTGATCTTAGCATCCAGGGTGGACCTTGCCTGCAGCAATTATTAACTGCGGTGTTCTATTGGTGACTTTTCTCTTTCTTGCTCCTTCCACATCTATTACTTATAATCCTTCCGTAAGGAAGACCTGTCACTTCTCTCCCGTTGATTTGTTTATATATTTATGTATGTATGGACTCAGGGATATTTATTCTTAGAGCTATCATATAATATTGTTATTTTAATGATTGCCTTTTTTTCTTTTGGTTTTAATTTTTGAACATAAAACATATTTTAAAAACTTACCCAAAAGTAGAACTTTTTTGGGAATACAAGAATCCCCACGTATTCAGCATCCATTTTCGATAATCATTTGCCCATACTTCTTTTATCCTTTCCAACTCCTCCCCCCCTTTTTTGCTAGAGTTTTTAAAGCAAATCTTAAACATCTTATCATTTCACACTTAAGTCCTTATCACAGCATAGTTGTTTTTTAGTTGAAAATTCAGATCTTTTAAAAATTTTAAGAATTTCATATTATACAAGAACTAGCACATGTTGGTGGGGAAGGAATTAAACATTTAAGCGTAAAGACAATAAAAATCATCCATGCTTCTGCCACCCAAATACAATCAATGTTAAAATTTCAGTGTGTATCTTTTCAGACTTTGGTTACAGATAAGTACATAAAGCAAATTTTAGAGGGGAAATCTCTTACATTTTCATCAAATGCCTGCTTAATCCATCTTGCTGATGAGTTGCAATTTACTGAGCCCTCCCATTTTCCTGGCTGCTGAAGATGCTTTTAATTCTTAGATTAAAGCCGGGCAGCTCCAAGCTGCTTGTGCCTTCAAGCTGTTTCCCTGAGTGAGCAGAGGTGTCCTGCCGGGCCCTGCATTGGGTCAGAGGTCTGAGCATCTGAAGCTCTATGGCTGTGTGTGGCCGGGAAGCCTTCCTACAGGGCTTGGCCTGGCCCTGGAGGTACCAGTGAGTGAGTACCTGGCACTGTCACATGATAACTTGGCACTGACTCCGTTTACCCAAAGCAGTGGCAGCAGAGTTTTCTCTGGGGACAGTACCAGCTGCGGCAGGGGGTCCCGTGCCCTCCCAGCCTGCAGCCTCTGTGCCCAGCTAACGACCATGTCTGATCTTCTTCCCAGGCATGGAGAACCCCGTGGCTGAGCGTCCCCGGGAAAAAGAGGAGCCAGTGGTGCGGGAGACCAGTGAGGCGGTTGACTGCCACCTCAGCGACATGCTGCAGCAGCTCCACAGCGTCAACGCCTCCAAGCCCTCGGAGCGGGGGCTGGTGAGGCAAGGTGGGCACCACGGTCCAGGGACATCTGGAGAGGGCAGGGAGGTCTCAGCCCCAGCGTGCCCATGGCTTGTCCAGGCCCCCATCTCCATGACACCTTTACGCCCCCCATTTCCTGTGCAGTACAATCCAGATGAGTGAGCCAAGTGGCCCAGGCCCTCCAAGGCCCCCTCCTCCTTTTTTATGAGTCATCTGTTCTGTCTCCACAAGTGCCCCATCTTCCAGCACCGCCATATGCTACGTGTATACATTGCACCTGTCAGTTCTTCTGCTCAGGGAATTGCTTACAGAGGAATACAAGACAAGGGAAATAACAGCCCCAGACATGCTCCAACCTCAGGGCTTTTGCTCACACTGTTCCCTTGTCCTGGCATGCACTTCCTCCAGATGTCTGCATGACTCCCTCTCTCCCCTCCTTCATGTGTCTGCTCCAGTGTCACCTCCATGAGCATTTCCCTGCCCCTCATCGTAGCACCTCTCCCCCTTACCTGCCTTATATTTCTCCATAACACTTCTCAGCAACATATTCTATAGTCTCCATATTTATTGTATTTAAAAGAAGGGATTGTTGCATGCATGGAGTATATATAACATTTTCATGTATCTCGAACTGTCTATCTTCTTACAATTTTTTAATCACTCAAAGCTCACTGATTCTCACCGTGATAGAAGTAACTTAAATGTTTTGTCCATATTTTGATTGGTCTGTGTCCCTAGAGCCAGAATGCAAGCTCGGTGAGGGCTGGGCTTCTGTCATTGCTCAGTGTGCCCATGACAGTGCCTGGCTCACAACAGGCCTGATAAATGGGTCAGCTGAACGCAGGAGTGGACTTGCTGCTTTAATGCCGCCTGTCTGAGCTTGTTGCTGGCAGAGGCCCTTCTTTCCTCTTCTCTGGGGCCCCAGAGGGCAAGAGGCTGATCCTGACCAATTGTCTTGTCTGTTTCTGCCCCAGAGGAGGCTGAGGATCCCGCCTGCATCCCCATCTTCTGGGTCAGCAAGTGGGTGGACTATTCGGACAAGTACGGCCTCGGTACGTTTCTCCCGGGGTGGGTGGGTGGCTCAGGAATGGCCTAGCGCCCCTTCGAGTTATTACCGGCGCTCCCAGTCCTCTTCTCTCAACACTCTCCTGTCTCCATCCCAGGCCTCCCAGTTCCAGCTCCCAATGCCCCCCTGCTCCCCACTCCCCCTTTCTGAGGTCTCCCTCCACCTACTGCTAGGGTATCAGCTGTGTGACAACAGCGTGGGGGTGCTCTTCAATGACTCGACGCGCCTTATCCTCTACAATGACGGGGACAGCCTGCAGTACATCGAGCGTGATGGCACAGAGTCTTACCTCACCGTGAGCTCCCATCCCAACTCCTTGATAAAGAAGGTGAGCGCCGGCTGGCCCAGGTGGCCTGGTGTGGCCAGCAGTGAGGGATGTGCCAGGGGACAGCCTCTAACTGTGGGCTCCCTCCCTCGCTTTCCACCCAGATCACCCTCCTTAAGTATTTCCGAAACTACATGAGCGAACACTTGCTGAAGGCGGGTGCCAATATCACGCCCCGCGAAGGCGATGAGCTAGCCCGGCTGCCCTACCTGCGCACCTGGTTCCGCACCCGCAGCGCCATCATCCTGCACCTCAGTAATGGCTGCGTGCAGATCAACTTCTTCCAGGTGAGCCGCAGGTGAACGGGGCCGTGGGGAGTTGGGGCGGGGTATCTGTGCCTCTCAGCGGGCCCACGGAGTTGGGTGGGCAGTGGGGGGCATGGGACATGTCTTTGGTGGCAGGCAGTAGAAGGGAGTGAAGTGGGGTGGGACCCCCCAGTCAGCCGGGGTCCTTTCCCTCCCCCCCCACACACACACACTAGCAGCTGGATCTTCAGTCACTGATAACCCCCTGTCTGTCCATTGCCCTCCTCTCCTCCTCTCACAGGACCACACCAAACTCATCTTGTGCCCACTGATGGCAGCCGTGACCTACATCGACGAGAAGCGGGACTTCCGCACGTACCGCCTGAGCCTCCTGGAGGAGTATGGCTGCTCCAAGGAGCTGGCCAGCCGGCTGCGCTACGCGCGCACCATGGTGGACAAGCTGCTGAGCTCGCGGTCCGCCACCAACCGCCTCAAGGCCTCCTCGTAGCCCCCGACCCCCACCAAGGACTGGCACCTTCCTCTCCCCAACCAGCACCTGGCCCCACGCTGGTCAGCTCCCGTGGTGCTGCTGTATAACGTGCCCCCCAGCCCTGGGGGCTGGGGCGAGAGCCGGCATCCCTGCGGGTGGGGGCTCTGTGTAAGTTATTTTTGTACATGTTCCGGTGTGGGTTCTGTGTCCTCCTCCCCGTCCCTCTCAACCCCACCATATGAATTGTACAGAATATTGCTATTGGATTCGGGACTGTCCTTTCCTTGCCTTTATACATTAAACACGTGTGAATCGTCCTTTTCTTCTTGTGTTCCCTGCGGGGCGCGCGCACCTGGGCCCTGCCCGCACCGTGGCTCCGCCATCCCC